ATACTCTATCATGTTATCTGCAAACACTGGGAGTTTTACTTTCATCTTTTTGGTCTGGATGCCTTTTATTTCTTCTTCTCGTCTGATTACAGACTTTAGGACTTCTAGCACTATGTTGAATAAGAGTCAACTGTGGACATCCATGGCTTGTTCTTAATCTTAAATAAAACACTTTTAAGTTTCCTCCATTGAATATCATATTAGCTGAGGGTTTGTCATATATGGTCTTTAGTATGTTGTGGTATGTTTCCTGTGAAAGTTTTTATCATAAAAAGATGCCGCACTTTGTCAAATTCTTTTTCTGCGTTTATTGATATGGTCATGTGATTTTTATTCATTTTGTTTATGTGGTGTATCACACTAATTGATTTGCAGGTATTATACCAACTTTGTATCCCAAAAATAATTCCTACTTTATCAGGGCATATGATTCTTATAATGTATTGCTGGATTCATTTTGCTAATATTTTGTTGAGGATTTTGCCTTTATGTTGATTAGAGTTATTGGCCTCAAATTTTCTTTTGGTGTAATGTCTTTATCTGGTTTTTGAATTAGGATAATGCTGGTCCCTGAAATGAGTTTTGTAGTTTTCTCTCTTTATGAAGTTTTGGAATAGTATGAGCAGGGTGGAATTCATTCTTATCTGAATATTTAGTAAAATTCACCTGTGAAACCATTTGATCTAGGACTTTTTGTTTATTGGGAGTTTTTTTTAAAAATTACTGCTTTGATTTCATTATTTGTAATCAGTCTATTCATATTTTCAGCTTCTTTTTGATTTAGTTGTAGAAGATTATGTTTTTAAGTTGTGTCTTTTGTTATGAGGTGGGTCTCTTGTAGACAGCATACAGGTTTAGGCAAAAATGTGTTTACAGTTGTGAGTACAAAAAACACAGGGTTTATTCTTGTGTTGTTATTTATCATTATATTATTTTTTATACAAACAACTGTAACCCTCTTTTATCTTACCCTGTTCATTTTCTTATCCATTTACCTACCATATGTCTTTTGTTTGGAGCATTAAAGCCATTTACATTTAAAGTGATTACTGGTAAGTATGTATTCATTGCCATTTTATTCTTTCTAACTATGTTTTATTTTTTTTCTTCTTCATAATGAAAATTCTTTAACATTTCTTTTAATATTGGTTTGGTCATAATGACTGTCTTTAGTTTTCTCTTGTCTGGGTAGCTATTAATTTCTTCTTCAATTTTAAATGAAAGCCTGGCTGCGTAAAGTAGTGTTGGGTGTTGGCCTTTGGCTTTCATCATTTTGACTATTTTGTGCTAATCTTTTCTGGCCTGAAATGTTAAGGTTGAAAAATCAGCTTACAGTGTGATGAGAGCTCCCATGTAGGTAACTAACTGTCTTTCTTTGGCTGCTTTTAAGATTCTTTCTTTGTTTTTTACCTTTGCCATTTTAATTATGATGTGTCTTAGTGTGTGCTCCTTTGCACTCATCTTGTTTGGGACTCCCTAGGTTTCCTGAACCTGTGCATCTTTTTGTTTCACCATCCTAGATAAGTTTTCAGCCACTATTTCAAGTAAGTTCTCTATTTCTTTCTCTCCCTCTTTTTTTTTTTTTCAGGTACCCCTATGATGAGGCTGTTATGCTTCATATTGTCCCAGAGGTTTATTAGACTATTCTTATTTTTCTTTTTAACACTTTTTTTTTGCTGCTGTGATTGCGTGTTTTTTTGAAGCATAATTTTATATTGCTGATTCAGTCCTTTGCTTTATTTAGCCTGCTGTTGATTTCCTTTAGTGTCTTCTTTATTGCAGTATTGTAATCTTCATTTCTAACAGGTGCTTTTTTATGGTTTCTATATCCTGTTTATGCTATTGATGTAATCACTAAGTTTCTTGAGCACCCTTATAAAGAATGTCATGAACTTTGTATCTGGTAGCTTGCTTGCCTCCATTTTATTTAGTTCTTTTTTTGGGGGATTTGTCCTGTTTTTTTCATTTGAGACATGTTTCTTTGTCTCGCCATTTTGGCTGTTCCTCTGTATTTGGTTCTGTGTATTGGTTTGATATGCTACACCTTGGATGGTGGTCTTATGTAGTATGTGTCTTGTGTTGCTTAGAGTGAAGTTTTTCTGATTGTCTAAGCTAGGTGCTCCAGGGATGTCCTTTGTGTGTGTTGTATGAGCCTTCTTGTTGTGTTTGACCCAACAATGACTGTTGGCCCATTCCTTGGTAGGAATGCCCCTCTGGCTGGCTATGAAGGTTGACCCTGAGAGCAATGTATCTGCAGCTGTGTAGGGGCTTGTTCCACAAAGATGAATTCACTCCAACAGAGTCCGGCGTCTTCCAAGATCTCCCTTTGTGTGTGCTGCTTGTGGAGCTAATTGGGTTGTGCTCTGGTGTGGTCCAAACCAAGGGTTGTGTTGGTTCTGGGGCCTCTCGGAAGATGATCCAGTGTGAAACAAAATCAGGCACTGCCAGTGATGGACTCTGGGCTACCTATTTTGAGTTTACAATGCAATACACAGTTTGTGGCTATCTCTGCTGGGCCTAGGTGTGCATGGGAGGGACCTATCTGTGGACCAAGACCAGTTGCTAACATCATCATACCCCAGGGTAGGTCAGCAAAAGGCCCAAGGCTCCCGGAGATTTGCCGTCACCTGTTAGCTGCCTGTTAGGCTCAGTTTCTGAAAGAGCTTTTAGTGGTACATAAATTGTATGAGGGAAGCTGTCAGTGAATCCACCTGAAATGGGCAAGTTTGTTCACCAGATTGATAGAGATTCAAACTGGGCATCAGTGCAGAGTTTGATGCCACTCAGCTATAACCTCAGGGTACACCGAGTTTTGCTGTTTACTCATGGACCTTTGAGTTTGGGAAGGGTCTCAAGGATTCATCAGGGTGACATTAATAGTGTTCATCAGGCCCAAAGAGACCAAGATTTGGCCATAAGATAGGAAGACTCTGTACAGAAAAGTTGGCACTGGTCCATTTGTGTGTTTTGTTTTGAGATGGGTCTCTTTTAGGCAGCATATATATATATATATGTATATATATATATATGGGTCTTGTTTTATTATTCATTCTGCTACCCCATGTCTTCTGATTGGAGCATTTGATCCATTTGCATGTAAAGTAATTATTGATAGGTACATATTTATTGCCAATTTATTCCTTGTAATTATTTTTCTCCTTTTTTAAAAGCAGTCTTTAATTTTTATTTTATTTTTTTTATGTAATACTGGTTTGGTGGTAAATAACTCCATCAATGTTTTCTTTTCTGGGAAGCTCTTTATTTCACACACCTTCAACATTTATTTATTTATATCTCCCTTTTTTTTTTCCTTTCTTGTTCAATCCCTTCACCTCCCTGAGGCTCCCAATCTTCTACTCTCCCTAACAGCTGTCAATCTGCTCTTCATCTATGAGTCTTTACCTTTTGCAACACTGAATGGGCTTGGAGAACAGATCCACCTGATACATAAAACAAATAAAGAAAAGCAGCCAAAATGAGGAGACAGTGTAACGTGTTTCAAATAAAAGAACAGCATAAGCTTCCAGTAAAAGAACTAAATGAAGAGAAAGCAAACAAGCTACCAGACATAGGATTCAAAACAATGGTTATAAGGATGCTCAAAGAACTTGGTGAGAACTTCAACAGAGGGATAGCAGCATAAAAATGACAGAAAGAAAGTCAGGAATGAAAAACACAGAACTACAATGAAGAATACACTAAAAAATTCAACAACAGATTAGCTGAAGCAGAGGATTGAATCATCAATTTAGAACACATAAAACATAAAGCATATAACAACCAATTAAAGCAGCAAAAAGAAAAAAAAAGTAATGAGGCTAGTTTGAGAGAGATCTGGAACAACATCAAGCATAACAACACCCACATCATAGAGATACCAAAAGGGGAAGAAAGAAAGCAAGGGATTGAGAACATACTTAAAGAAATAATGATTGAAAACTTCCCTAATTGGGTGAAGGACAAAGGCACGTAAACCCAGAAAGCACAGAGTCCCAAACAAGATAAACTCGGAGAGGCTCACACTAAGATGCATCCTTATTAAAATAGCAAAGGTTAAAGACAAACAGAGAATCGTGTAAACAGCAAGAGGAAGACAGTTACCTACAAAAGGGCTCCCATGAAACTGTCATCTGATTTTTTAACAGAAACATTCCAGGCTAGAGGGATTGGCGTAAAAGATTCAAAGCAATGAAAAGGAAGGACCTACAGCCAAGACTGCTCTATCCGGAAAGGCTGTCATTTAAACCTGAAGGTGAATCTGTCTCTGCTTTGCTTGTTCATTCATTTTGTTTGGGTTATAGGTCTCATTGAATCTCCTGCTCTTCTCCCTTCTATTCCCAGACCAAGCTTTCCCCTCAAAGGCTTAATCCTCTCACCTCTGGCCACTGTAAATTCCATGGCACATCTACTAACTGTCAACTCATACTCTGTCTGTATTTCTTTCCAGGAATATACTGGATCTTGAGTTCCATCTATGCCACTTGGAAACTGAAGGTGCTTGGAAAGCTGAAGTCTCAGCCCATCCTTTGCCTCACTATCTTGTTTCTTTTACATAATTTAATGTGACCACCTGCCAGATTGTTCTGTGGGCAGCCCGTGGGGCTAGCTCATTCCTGAGAGGCCTAATTGTGACGTAGGAAGAGGCCTTCTGCTCTGGGCTTTCCCCTCAGTGTGTCCTCCGAGGCAGTGTAGTAATGGACTATCAATACACACCTGTGGTCCTTGGCTTCCCCTGCCGGTGTATTCCTTTCTTCCTTCTTAGTATTTCCTTTTTTCCCCCTGTCTGACCAGGACTTCCTGTAGTTAAAACTCTATGTTCTAGTGAGATTCTCAGGCCTAAATCTTGGTGTGTTAGGGGAGCATAAAGGGAAATAGAAAGTCCTTCTTTTCGCAGCCAACAGTTAAATTTTATAACCACTATTATCTTGATAAATGGTTCAAAATACATTTAAAAAATCAAATGAAATTTTGATTTTCCAACCTAATAGCAATATTTCCTTTCACAGGCGACCCTCCTGGTTTGTCCCAGCCACGGGTCTGCGCCACCGCAGGGCGTCTCTCAGGGCTTGCTTCACCGTGTCATTGCGGAGGCTGAAGATGAACGGGTTTAGGAGGGGTGTGAGGATACAGCTCAGGACCGAGGCACCTTTGTTGAGCAGCGTGGACTGAGGCCCTGACATACGAATATAGAGAAAGATGGAGCTGCCGTAGACAGTGATCACCACTGTAAGATGGGAAGCGCAGGTGGAGAACGCTTTCCTCCGCTCCGCAGCTGTGGGGGCCCTGAGGACAGTGGCAAGGATGCAGGCATAGGAAACGGAGGTCAGTGACAGCGAGCCCAGTAACACTGAGGTGGAGAGCACAAAAGCCACCAGCTCCAGGAGGCGAGTGTCCCCACAGGAGAGCCTCAGCAAGGGCCAACTGTCGCAGAAGAAGTGGTCAATGCCATTGGGGCCGCAGAATGGTAAGCCGGTCATGAGGATAGTGGGGCAAAGGACCCAGAGGAATCCTGCTAGCCAGGAGGCCAGCACGAGCTGGGAACAGACACGGCTACTCATCAGCGTCTCATAGCGGAGTGGCCGGCAGATGGCCAGGTACCGGTCCAGAGACATGACAGCTAAGAGGAAGAAGTCGGTGGTTCCTAGGAGGAAGTAGAGGTAGGACTGGATGATGCAGCTGGCAAATGAGATAGAGCAGTCCCCTGTGAGGATGATGGCAAGCATCTTGGGAACCACGACAGACACGAGCAGCAGCTCCAGGAAGGACAGGTTCCTCAGGAAGAAGTACATCTGGGTGTGCAGGCGTCGGTCCGTCCAGCTGAGCCCAATAATCAGCAGGTTGCCTGTGGCTGTTACAATGTAGGTTACCATCAACACCAGGAACAGCAGGGACTGCAGGATGTGGCTACTGGGGAAACCCAGAAGGACAAACACTGTTACCTGAGTCCAGTTTTCAGGACTCATTTTGTTATCTGCAAAAAAAAAAAAAAAAAAAAAAAAAAAAAAAAGGAGGAAGAAGAGGCAAAAACAAAACAGAAATAGAATATTCTAACTGGGTTCTTAGCTGCCAATCGTCATTTAATCAATAAAACAATAAGCACCTAACACTTCCTTACATTCCAAAAATATACTAATCTGTTTTTGGGCCTGCAAATGACTAATGAGGAGAGTAACAAATGATGGCAGCAAGCAGTATACCAATAATAACATGGACAATGAGTATTATTGAATATCAAATATGTGTAAGGAGATTTACATGTAGTATCTCCTCTTGCAGCGCTCTTTAAGGGCAGTATTTCTATTCTTACAGATAACGGAAGGATGACTGAAGAAGGAAAGAACCCTCCTATGGTTGAATAGGGGGCAAGTGGTACAGACAGGACTTCGTACCCACCTCTGTGGCTCCTATGCTCATACTGCTCCCCTGCTCAGTGTAGGCTGGGCAGCACGCGAGCAGCGTGGCCTTAGAGGGACTCAGAAGAGTGGGGGGTTGGAGGAGACCTTACAGAATAAATGCACCACGGGAAAAATCGTTACTGGTATCAAGAACTCTTCATATTCGTGGTCTTTCTGGGTTCTGGCTTAGCATAAAATAACAGAGTAAGAATCTGAGGTGCTGTGTTTTTTAGATTTTATTTTTCTTAATCATCCAGAGAGCCAACTGGGCTTGGACTGTGCAAAGGCCCAGACCTGTCATAGGGTGTTTTTGTTGTTGTTTTATCAAGACTTCCTTCTACAGAGTGCAAGAAAGTCTTGTTCCCGGTGTGACATTTACTAGCCTCTCAGTGTCAGCTCTCCCAATATTCTTATGGCCTAAGATGGGGAGTGAGAGGAAATGTTATCAAAAGAGACAGGATACGTTGACTTGCCTCTTCATTTTTTGCCTTAATTTGGAGGTATGCTAATTATCCTTACAGGTTTTGGCATCTTGTGAAATTCACTTATGAAATTTTGAAGAATTGCATTTTATTAGATATCTTGTTTCTGAGCTCCTTTTCTCGAATCCAACACCAAATACTCAGAATTACAAAGATACTACCTGTCAATTAGTGAAAATGTTGGGAACCATTCTAAGACGAAAGAATGCCAATGATCGTCAAGTCACTTTGTTTAATGGACAAGGAATGCAGTATTAAGAACCTTGACAAAGTTTAATCCGGGATCATCTATTACTCCAGACCTTCAGCATGAAAGATGGATGAACATGTATTTTTTTTCTCTCCCAATTCTGGGTGAAGATGCCTTTGCAAACATCAGCTGAGTGAGGAATCCTGGTTCTAAGGCTGAAGGAGATAGGTACTCAAGATATGCCCTGTTTAAGTCCATTTTAGCAGGAATAAGTCCTGGGATTTAAGTAGCTATCTAATAATAAAGCATTATTCTGCTAACCTAGAGCCTCTCTTCAAAATCAAAGAAATACCTCAATAGAAAAACCCAGAAAAGGGTGCTAGAGCACTATTTCAGGATAACATAATCATTTTATTTTATTTATTTGAAAGAATTTATTTATTTATTTTTAGAGAGAGAGGAAGAGAGAAAGAGAGGGAAAGAAATATCTCTGTGAGAGAGAAACATTAACTGGTTGCCTCTTGCATGCCCTCAATGGGGGACCTGGCCTGTGACCCAGGAAGCACTCAGTCCACCGAGGCAGGATGGCATAATCATTTCAGATAAAGGAAATATGTTAACTGTGGCCCTTTACAAAGTATTAGGTAAATATTATAATTGAAAGTATCTTATAAAACCTACCTGTCAAACATGCAATATTAACTCCTGGCTACCGTTGCAAAACACACACAAAAGTCTGATACTGAGTATTAATCTGAATAATTTCTTACAAATTCCTGCATAACTTTATTAATTGCCTATCTGTTTCTATGATTCCTATGTATAATTTTGTCATTTTTAATATCAAAATAATCTTGTTGACTGGCCTCTTTAATGCCTAGGAAGACTTGCCTAAAGCCACGTGGTTAGAAATGGTTAGCATTATTGTCGGAAATGATTCCTCTTCAGGGCAGGGAAGGTGGGTGTTCTGGCCCTGATCACCACTCCCCGCCCCCGAAGTCGGACTCCCTTACCTGAGCACATTGAGGAAGCTTATCCTGCAAGTTTTATCACAGGGTACGCCAGCTCTATACCACATAGAAAGTGAAGCATTCTGCTGGGATGGGTTGTAGACCTAGAACCACAGATACTACCTGCCTTTTATCGATCCCGGTAAGCATGCCCTCTTGGCATCGCACGTTTGGCTCACTATCCTAAATCTGCATGGAATCGTCAAATCCCCTCTATCCCCCTTCTGGAACATGGGATGCTCCTGCCAGGCCTTATCATTAACTTGCGCTTATCAGACCCTGTCTAACGCATTTCGCCCCCATGGGCCAGTTGCTCCTGGGCCAGCTGAGGGGTGTCCATGTGCTCGTTCAGTCCTTGAGGCCCCCTTGCCTCCCATTCGGTGCTCCTCTCACACTTCTCCCAGCCGGACCCCCTCGTCCCACTGAGAACACACCTGCTGGCTTTGTTTCTCTTTTCCCCTTTCAGATATACTCCTAGCTCCTTGAGGTCTGAATCTATTTTACCTTATTAAGTGTGAATCTATGCTTACTGCACTATTTCCTAGGAGCGTGGAAAACCTGCATTGGAATTGTTAACTTTGCTCCTTAAAAATGTGGATTTCTAGGCTTTCCTTATAAAAAGGCAATCACTCTCTGGGGTTAGGGCTAAGGAACATATAATGTAAATTTTTAAACAATTTATCTGGGTTATTTTTAATTAATAAAGTTTTCAAAATGTTGGATTTAGGAAGAAAAAAGCATACTGGGCAGGTTTGAGTATGCTTAGGACAAATGAGTGAGGTGTAAGAAAGGGCTAGGTTGTAGGTAGGACATGGAAGAACCCAGATATGAGAGGACTAGTTTTCTAAACTAAAAGTGCCACCAGCTTTTTAATGTGGTGGTAGGGCTACCATTACATCTGACCTGCGGCAGCAATAAATCTAGGCTTCCGAATTCTCATAACATCCTGATGGCCATCTCATGTTCCAATATACCCATAGGTATACGGAGATTATTTTCCCTAGGTGAGATTAGATCCAATTGTGGACATTTACTATGTGTCAGGTACTAAGTACTGGACATACAAAGTTGAATAAACTGCTGCTAGTGTAGTAAGGGTTAGATATATGCAAGTGACGAATTCCATTAGAATTAAATTAAGGCCACAATTAAAGTCAAGTAAAAGTCTTGTGGAGGCAGAGAAAGAAGAGGTACAAAGTTTGTTTGGGAGCAGCATGGAATACTTCTTAAGGTTTATAACATTTAGCTGAGCATTTAAGGATGAATAATTTGAATTCCAGAAGGGATGTGAGTCTTTTAGGTTTAAAGTGACTTAAAGTATCAAAACTTTTGAGTTTTTCAATAGGAAAGTGAGATTATAAAGAGTATTCAATTTTTTCATCAAACTATTGCTTAAAAAACACTCATAGTTATTACATAAATAGATTCTGCTTTTAAGGTATGAAGGCCAGAGCATACTACTAAGAAATGAAATAATGATTTAAACCTGATGGCGCAGAGACTCCTAGGAGCATAAGCTGAGTTGGCTCTTGAAATGAACTTAAACTTCATCTGTAGATCTTTCCCATCTCTGCTAGTAGTGCCATAAGATACCTATTATGTGGTATTCTTACTTTTAAGTAATTGCCAAATACTCTTATAATGTGTTCATTGAAAAATAGATGTGAATATTGTTGACTTATCTGTTTCTTAATAGAAATAAGTTTGGTCCTAAAGGCTTTAAGGTATAATGACTAGTACAGTTAATTGCAAAATAAAATTTTCCCCTGTAACAGTGTTATTTTAGGGAGGGATAGTTTGTCCTGTGCTCTCTCAGATACTAGATGTTACCAGTTACTGCCCTGTGTGCAAAACTTGGTCTTTACATGAAACTGTAATGAGAAGAATAAAGTTTTTAAAAAACTGGGGCTTAGTACTCCAGGTCTTAATAAAAGAGGAAGTTGTTAGTCTCATTACCTGGGTATTAAAACATAAAACGCATGGCTTTCCACGGGGCAGCACTGAACTTTCCTGGCTCAGGTGTTGGTCTATGTGTGTAGAACTCAACAGCTGAAGAAAGGTATGGAAGGTTCTCATTCTTATTTTCCCTCAGAAAAACAACCTGTAGTGCTCTATACAATGAAATGTGCCATATCTTTCAGTAGCCCAAATCTATATGCTTTAGAAGTATGCATAAACAAAACTTAATTCTAACAAGTTCAGTTCTGAGTCAGGAGGAAGAATACCAAGTGTCCTGAGACAGGGGGATGATATAAGTTGGTTCTTGTACCTGCTCCAGTATTGAATTTCTTAGGCTCCTTCACCTGGCCAGTTGGAAGAACGTGAACATGGAGGACCTGTTCGGCTTCTCTTTATGGTCCATGGAGCACACAGAAGACTTCCTGCATCAACAGGTCTTTTTGCTTCATGTGATATCGAGCAAAACCCCCTTGCAGTGTTGAAAAGATTTTTCTATAGCTTAGCATGAATATTTCTTTTTGTGCCCAATCACTTAAGATTTACTTTAACTTGCTATAAACTTGCTTTAAAATCCCAAAAGGGTACAACATTGACTGAACTTTTCTAAAAACAAACAATGTAATTAATTCCTTTGAGGCTATAGGGGGTGAGTTTGAGATTTGTCATAGAGTGGCAAAAAACCAGATATTTCTTGAGAACAAAGAGAGATGAAAATTTGCTACTGCATTCAAATGTGGGGAAATTCTGAAGCTACGTAGTGATTCAGTGAGGCCTTAGTTATCTCAGCAATGTAATGACATTATAAAAATTATATATATAAAATACATGTTTGTTACATCTTATCTACATATATGTATATTATCAGCACTAATAACAAAACAAAATTTATTTTCTTTTTAAAATTATTTCAAATCTAAGTATAGTTTT